TCTTTAGGAATTCTTTACTAAACGAACTTTAATTTTCCATTAGTTTGACCGACTCGGGAAAATTAAATTTACTGGTGTTTTTATTTCCTAAGCCAATTATTTTTAATTATTTGTTCGTGTTTTATTATTTCCTGACTATCCAACTTAAATAAAGGGCAATTATGACGAAATTGAACCAAATTCTGAATCTGAGGGACCACAAACAAAATTCAAACCAAAGTCGTTAGTCCGCCATGCATGGACGCCGTTTTGGGGCTATACGGTCATTTTTTTGTGTGAACATTGGTTTTTTTTTTAAATGAATATTTGCAAGGCACAAAACTATATGTAGTTTATAGAGATTTGGAGAGAGGGGAGGGTGCAGAATAGGGCGGTTTGGTCCACGGGCGGATCTACGGGAGGGGGAGGGGGGCTTTCGGGCTGAAGCCTCCCCAAAATGGTAAAATATAACCATGTTTTATCGAAAAAAATATTTAAAAAGTATCTCTTAAAGTGTTATTGTTCGTGTAATTACATTTAAAAGGGCTTTAGGAATCACTTAAACACCATTTCATACAGGTAGTTAGTTTCTTTCTTTTTTTCCAAAGTAATTATCGTTATTTTTATTTAAAAAAAAAACGTTCGTGCTGAAGCCCCCCCCCCCAAAATCAAACACTGGATCCTCTAGTGGTTTGGCCCAAAGACTACTTAACATCATACTATTCCTTACCGTTCTCCATCAGTAGTAAGTACATACAGACAGAACGGGAAAACCACCTGATTTTGATAACAAGGAAAGAGACTCCATTCTGACCGAATTCATTCATCTCCACCGTATCTTCTCACCAATGTTTTTTTTTTTCTTCTTTTATATGGCTCCCCTTCCATCGCTGACCCGAGCCGGCCGTGCGTATATAAAATATAAGATTCCTCCGAGAAGAGATCCAGACGAAGAACCGGTTTGGAGAAAAGGCAAATCAGAAGGTAATCAGATACAAATTGGTCGCCTGATGGATTCGAGGCGATGTTGGCGCCGTGGTTCTTCGTTTTGTCCTCAGAGGCGCCAAGTCGGTGTCTAGTTCCTTTTGGAGTCTGCGGCCCCGCCACCTCTGGTGTACGATCGGGGAGCTCATTGTCCACGGATCCATATCCTCTTATCCTAGCCTTTTAGAAGGTATTTTACTTATAATATATAATTAATCTTATTGCTACTATTGATTCCACAAGCAGATGAGCGATTATTTCCATAAGCAGATTATTTCTTATCCGTAAGTTCAAAATGAAACTAGATAAAATTCAACCGTTTTTGTTTCTAATTTAGTTTTAGTAGGTATGAATGACTCTTCTCCATCTAACAAGAAAAATGAAGTCCGGTGAACGCTAAAACATTTTTTTTTTTTTAGAATTCCAATAATAAAAACTTTTTAGGATTAAATAAATTGGTTTTAGAATATGTATTCTTATTGTCGTCGTCTTCTATTTTGTAGGTCTCCTTTTCCTCCAAAGATATTAAACAGTTTTCAATGGAACTTTGGGAATAATTAACCATAGGTAAAGGAGAACGGAAACGATCAAAATGAAATCATTTTTGCATATCCTCTTTGAGAAGATTTAAAAATTAACCTTAAACAAATTATGCAGATTTTTTTCTGCATGCAAATTATTTGTATTATTTAAGGACTCTTCACCGGGTTACTATAAAAACACTTTTTTGTTATATATGTTTCTACAATCTATAGTTTGCCAATCTCATAAGTACATTTTTTATTTTTTTTACATGAAATGGTATAACTCTTTATTTTTTCGAATCCTCAACATAATCACTTCAGTGAAATCATTTTCATAATAACGAATACTTAAAAGCGATTTAAAGTATAAAGCTAATAATTTTTTTTTAATTCTATAAGAAATGAATTTATGACAACTAAAAAATATAACAGAAGAAAGAATTTTATATACATTTTTATATAACTAGTCAGAATGTGAAATCGTTTTATTTTTATGCGGGAGGTTTCACAAACTAAGACTCAGAAGAGCACGAACAGTAGATATGTGCAGAAACACATGACATTTCTAAAAGGAAGGTGAACAGGAGATGATCACTTTTCAATTATTGTAGACTGACAACTTGATATTCATCGTACATTTGTCTAAAATGCTAATAGTGTGCTTTTATTTCTCGCGAAACAAATGTATGACATTTTGACAATGAGTATATTAACCTTTATAAACTGTATTATAAATTAAACCAAATATATGATTTATATCATCAACTTCCCGTTCACAGGTATGACTCTTCTTCACCTAACAAGAAAAACGCAGCCCGGTGAACGCTCATAAAATTTTTTCTAGAACTCCGATAATTCAAACTTTTTAGGATTAAATAGATTGGTTTCAGAAAAGTTACGCTTTTCGTATTTTGTAGGTCTCCTAAGATATTTAACAGTTTTCAATGAAAATTTAAGAATATTAAACTAAAGGTAAAGGAGAACGCAAACATTTAAAGCGAAATCAATTTTACAAATGCTTTTTGTGAAAACTTCAAAACTAACCTTTAACAAATTATGCAATTTTTTTTTTGTATTGTCATGCAAATGATAAATTATATGTTGTAGTACATAGTTCGCCAATCTCATTAGTACATTTATTATTGTTTTACGTGAAGTGGTATAACTTTTATTTCTTCGAATAATCAGGAAAATCATTTCTGTTGAACAATTTTTATAATAACAAACACTTAAAAGGTATTCATTCTTTTTTTTTTCATTCTATAAAAAATGAAATTCATGACAATTAAAAAGCAGAAGAAAGAGTTTGAAGAGTTGGATCAATAATGTATTATATTTTACTATTCCAAAGCATCTCACTTACCGATAGAAAGAGGGTCAAGATATAATGAAGAAATTTTATTATTAAACCAAAAACTTTAAATTCCCGATTTATATTTTTCAAATCACAATTCTTGATTATTTAATGTCGTAAAAAAATCGAGCAGAATTATCGATCTTCTGGGAATTCCATGTATAGACGCAAACTTCGGGAGGGGGGGGGGTATAGTGCGATACCCATTCCCAATAAAAATGTTAAGGGGGCGAGAGGGCGATAAATTGAAAACAAATAAGATAATAATAAAATCGATTAAGAAAATCGACTAGCTGGACCTATTACTAGGTAGGTAGGCACGTATCTATTTTATTATGACCTAAATATCCCTATTGTTTTCATTGATATTCTTAGATAATAATATTGAAACATGTCCTTGCATTTTATGATTCATTCGCCTTTCATGTGCACACCTCAATTTTCATGCACATTTTCTTATAAATTTTCTTTCCTGAAGTAGGAAAAATATATTCAAGAAGTACGAGTATAAATATATTTTATAGGGAATTTTTAAAAGAATTAGTCAGGCTGTGGAAATGTTTCATTTTTATTAGGAGGGTATACTAACTAAGAAATCAAAAGTATTTTTCAGTTTTAAACATTATTCATTTTTAGCTGGAAATTTTTTAGAAATGAATCTATGATATATATCCCCCTTTCTCCCATGTTTAATGTATATGAATTGTAATATTTTCAATTGTTTTATTCAGATATGTATCAAGTAGATCCATAAACACATAAAAAATAAAAAAAATTATAACTGTCTAAACATGTATATAAGTTTATTTTTAATTATATAATATTTGTTCGTTTCACATTATATTGAATTTGTCCTATGATGCCATACTGTCTGGACACCATCGTTGTGTTATATGTTCTTATTAATGGGAAGAAATGTTAAGTTAAAGATGTAAGTTAACCAACACAATACATCACGCAGCACAAAATTGTTCACATAGATACCTACATTTTATAATGTGACTTTTTTTTCGTTCTTCCCTAGCTCGCCTTTTAAGGCTATACTGGATTTCTCCGGGTCGGAGGGTGAGGGCGGGAAATTTAAAATCCTCTCCGGCACCGGAATGCGTAATTTTTATTTACTTTTAATTTTTATTTAATCTCATAACTTCGGTCATCTGGTTGCCAAGCAACTCGCAGTGCTGTGCACACACGTTAGCCCATTCGGTCACCCCACCCCCTCATTATGATGTTACCTGCAGCGTTTGTGGAAACGACTGAAGACATAATTTCCCCGTCATAATAAGTGACATTATTAATATTAAGCAATGCTATAACATATTCCTTATTTAAATCATAGAACGATATTAAAAGTTTATATATAAAAAATATAAAATACTATTATTAAAATTATATAAATTATACGTTTATAATATTATTTTATTTAAATGGATATATTATTCAGTCTTATGTGATTAATTTCATTTAAATTTTTTTTTATCATATATATTTTTTTGGAGGTGAAAGGCACAAGTCCTGAAATTACTTTATGGTTTTTAATGCAGAAAAAATAAAATAATTTATTTTTGTTTTATTTGTTTAATGTTGAACAGAATCTAAAATATATAAATATTTCTAAAAATAATACAATGGAAGTCTCATGCCTCGCCCAGAAAAACTGTAGTCCTCCAGTTCTTTACTAGAAGCCACTCATTTTACATTCATATGCGTGTCTTCTTTTTTCATGAAAATAGGATTTTTTAATTTGTATTTTTCTGTAATCAGGCACATCAGTTCTTTCTTTGTTGCCCATCTCTATATTCTAATTTACGGATCATAGCAAGAGTAGAGTTAAGCGTAATTCCAGACTTATAGAACTGAACTTAGGTTTCGGTGCAAATATTTAACGTGCGTAATGTTCTGACAAAAACTCAGAGGAGTACCAACTATAGGTATGTGCAGAAATACATCATATTTCTAAGAGGAAGATGAAGAGGCGATCGCCATTTTTGAATTGTAGTAGACTCACAACTTAATATTTATTGTACACTTGTCTAAAATACTTTTATTTCTCGCGAAGCACGTATATGAAATTTTGAGAATGAGTATATTAATTTTTATAAAATGTATTGTAAATTAATCCAAATATATGATTTATATCAATAACTTCTCGTTCACAGGTGTGCCTAATAATCTGGATAGATCTGGAAACATTCATCTTGAAATGATCCAATCATCAGGTAACTAGCAATATTCGGATATATCAGCAACAGAAGATATGGCGAACGTTCTTTGTGGTTATCTGATAGCGGTGCTGGCCGCGGTTTCAGCCCATCGAGAACATAAGGTGAGTTGATGATTTAAAATAAATATTCATGAATATGATTAAGGCGAATATCTATATTACTGTAGAGGACAAATATTTCGAGGTTGTAGAGAGCGAATGTGTAAGCCGTTAGATTAGTAGCAACCTCGATTCAGATAGTAAGGACGATTCAATTTCTACCACAGTAGTTGGAAACTTATTTCGCGGCTTATCCCCATGACAGTTATGTCCAGAAAGGAGGTAAAAGAAAGAAATCTGGTGTGTCCACTCACACGACTTTCCTACCTATTTCAGAATTTTTTTTGATATCTTTATATATGTTCATGAAGAAACAAAAAAAAATTGAACTAGATTTATTTTCCTGAAAATTGATCAAAGAAAATATTTGAGTACGATTTATTTGATAAACTAAAGCAATGTAAACCGGCTTAAGGTAGATCAGTGTAAATGCTATCACATTTCAATACTCTCTAATATAGCAGATCAAAAACTTTTTGCCATAGCTTAGTATTGTCAAACAATCATTTCTGTTAAAATTAGAGGAAATAGTGAAGCTTGTATTATGCGGGCAACAGATTTTCTTACTTTCACTTAGTCATCTTTTTTCTCTCATTCAGTCTTTCTGACACCAGGATATGAACCCGTAATCTTACATAGGAAATTGAATAGCTTTAATTGCGTTAATAGTAGTCCGAAATGAACGATTTTATATAATTTTGTAGGGAAAATTCAAAATACATTCGTTAGAGCCGTTTTCACGCTACTGTCAATAGAAAAACATGTTTTTTTCATTTATTGCGCGCAAGCTATAGGGCATGGAGCACCGAATTTCTGTAAAAGACATCAGTAGTCAAAACCCTACAAAATAAAAAAAGAAGCAACAAAATCGGTACTGTAGTTTCCGAGAAAATCTTGACACAGACAGACAGACCAATGCCTAAAAATGTGTTTTTCGTACTAAGGATGCTCTGAAACGTATAGATTCGTCGAAAACCGCATATCGGAAATTTGACCCGATTGCAATACTTTCCTTAACTAGTGTAGCTAGGAAAATAAAAATGCATGCACTCCATTATGTAGTATTTATTTCTCTAACTGACATCTTGACGCACATTTTATTTCATCGTCAGGACTTCAAACTGGGATATTATTGCTTTTAAATGACAATAACGAACACACTGCTATAATAATTACACTGCTTGCAGATCTGGTGATGATAGAGATATTTACACTTCGATTTATAATATAATCAAGGTGAACTTTGATATGGTTATAACAAAAATTGTACTCTTCAAAAATTCAATATCTACCAATAGCTATTTTTAGATTATTTTATTTTCTATGGCAAATAAATTATTCACCGTAGATCTGATTTGACGAGGTTAGCCTGGGAGAGGAGGTGCGGTCAACAGTTATACAAATAATATTTGGGAATAAAATTTATTGGTGCCTACCAGTATTGTCTAAAAACGGTCTTGGTCTTGTTCCTGTATTTTCGCAAAACCAATACTGGCTCAAGACAAGACTAGCAGGTGTCTCTTGCTTTTCTTTGGACAAATGTTCTTTGAGCCCTATGGTAATTATAAATACAAAAATCAACTGCGGTAACCGGTTATTTATTGTCGGCGGGTTTAGATATTATCAGAGAAATTCAATCAAGAAAGCTGTAAGAAAAACGGGTTGGTTAAAAATCCTATCTATACATTAATAAATGAATATCAAATATAATACATCCTTTACTGTAATAGAAAACTGGAGGAAAATTATATAAACAAACTCAAAGTAACAGCGATAGAACAGATTCAAGACAAATTCAAATAAATTTTGTAAAAAAACTGTTTACTGAGATATTGTTTTCACCTCACTAGCCTATATTTTGTTTTATCTTCATTTATTTGTGGGCTTATTTGCTCTGTTTCTCTTCAACAGTTTTTTCGAGTCAATATAGGTAATATAGTAATATGGGTAATAGACAGTAGATAGATAGTAATATAGGTAATAGATATATACAGCATGTTCCGCAAGTAAAGAGAAATATTTAAAAGGTTGATAGTAGACATAAAGATCTTCAAAAACGTTCATATAAACAATTGGCCAATTTCCATAAGTGGGAAATTCAAGATTTGTGTATTTTTAAGCGAGTCACGTTTTTTAACAAACAGCAAGCGATAACTTAAAAATCTGGTGCGCGCAACACACAACTTTCACTTTCCGCTCTACTTCAATATAAATTATTTTTTGGCAATGTTGGGCTATTATAAAATTTTCGAAGTGCAATTTTAACCTATCTAAAACTTAAAGCTTGCAGTTAACAAATCATTAATAACATTAAAATAACAAAAATCCTATTTATTATATAGATGGTTGATTATGAATTGTACGATCCGTTGATTATGGATTGTACGATTATTAATTATTAAACTGCTTTTTTTTTCATTGTAAAGTTTGCTAAAATAGAATTACGAGATTTGCATTGCCTGTCATAGAAAGATCATAAGTTGTCACACTAATTGTAAGTGGATACTGTTTGGATATCACAAAGGAAATATTCATCAAATTATTTACTAATTTAATTTTTTAAAACGTGACTTGATGATTTTTTGGAATAAACGGTCAATAGATTCCTAATTATTTAAATATAATATCAGAAACAGAGTTAATGTATTCAAGGTTACATATCCATGAAAGATTTGTATATTGCATTTTTTTTCACTCAAGTACAATGAAATAGTATTTTAAACAATGTTATTGCCTTGATTCGGTGGATTTTAAACAATTGTGTTCAAACTTAAAAAAAATTTAAACGTTTACATTTAGTAAGAAAATTCCATTTAATTTCCTTGCAAACATGTGATTTACGTTAAATAATGTTAGTTTTAGAAATTATTATTTACGTCACTGTCCGTTACCTTCTACAACTTTATTTTTTAAATATTATTTACTAAAATTCTCCGCTTTCCAATGATATATTATACGTATACCTCCAGATTATTATTTCCGGAGATTCATTTTCGACAAGGATAAGCATTTTTCTTTTTTTCTCCTTTACTTAATTATTAAATTATTTAAAAAGTTATATTTAGCCATTTTTGATAGTTACTGTCAATAAGAGTTTTCTTTTTTTAAATAAACCAAGTAAGAGGTACTTTAGAGAAAGACGTATATGAGCATTGGGCATTTAAGCCCTGTAAAGTGACATCAATGTGGATAAGACCTAGCTGATATTTTAAAAAAACCTAATAATACATTGATTTGTGATCAATGATACATTGATTGATTGAGTTAAATCAAAATCGCTAGAGCCGTTTTCGAGAAAATCGTAAACATTTGTATCACCGTTGATATAAAGTAGCACTTCCGGTTAGCTGATTTTAAAAAAAAAGATGCTGTCACATCGGAACCATAAACTTTAAACACGCAATTTAAGTTTCAAACTGCTTTACGTTTTTGAGCTAGGCTGTTCACACACATACACACAAACCATTTCGCGGTACTTGGTTATTTCGACTCAGGGGATCTCAAAACGCTGAAAACTGAAAATTTTCACGATCGCAATACTTTCCCTTACTATATATTACATATATAGGTAAGTGAAAGTAAAAAATATTTGATTTAAGTAATTAATCAAAACTAACAAAAAATAAACTAACTACCTATATGAAATAGTGTTTAAGAGGTACTTGAAGTCCTATTAAATGTAATTAATTACATGAACTATAATACTTTAAGAACTAATTTTTTTATTTATTTTTTCATAAAACAGGATTACATTTTACCATTTTGGGTGAGCTTCAGCCCGAAAGCCCCATACCCTATCCCCCGTAAATCCGGCTGTGTCAAAAGGCAACTATTTTCAACGACATTTGAAGCAACTGGTCGTAAGCTACCAGGGAACTCGGATAGAAACAAATGGTAGCATGTGGCGTGTCATTAAATTTACAATGGTTGGCTCACTGTTTGTTGTAACATGCAAACATACCCTGGATACAAACATGAATTTCAAAAGTCGATGGTTTCACTTATTTTACTAATCTAAATTATTTAAATATTGGATTAAGTAGTACAGTATATTTTGGAGGCACTCATCCTTTGAGATAATTGAATTAAAATTTTCCGAAACCATATGCTGTAGACTCTGCTATAACCGATCTCTTCGATATCTAGAAAGCCAAAGAAAAAAGATTTTTTTTTTCTAAAACATCAAGATGAATAAAAAAACATCAAGTTTTTAGTAATGTAATTATAAACACGAGTATCTAAACACTTTCCTCGTTTTGAAAGTTAGAATTATCAATCCAATAAGAGGAAAAATTGGATATATCAAACATTTAAAAAATAATTGAAAAGAAGAATGGTTGGCGAGATGAGTAAAACTAAATAATTATATTAATTTATTTAAATATTTATTCATTATATTTAAAAATAAACATAATTATTTATTTTTACTGATCACCTCAACCATTCTTCTCTTCAATTATTCAATACAGCCAACCACCAATCCGCAATTTAAAAAATAAATCAAATTGATACAAAGAAAATTATATGATTTGAATTTAATGTTTAACTATTCATTTATTTTAGAATATTTAAACATAATTCATTTATGATTCAGTCTTAAATATCTTTTTTACGGTTTATCGTGAAAGGTATGATAACAAGCATGGAGCATGTCGCGCTATCAAAATTTTACAAGGCTTTGAAATTTGAGAGGTCTATTTTGATAAGGTATTGAATTCTAGTTGGGAATCAGAGGAGAGGGAGAGGTTAAATTAAAACTGAACCAAAGTTTTTAAATTATCCAACAAAACTACTCAACTAAAGTTTGACTGATAAAATTTATCAGCATTTTTTGAAGGCAACTATAAGTATTGCTACATGGCTTGGTATAGTTTGATAATTGATTGTTGTTGTTGTTTTTTTGGCGTTTTGGAGAAGATTTTGACAAATAGTTTAGAACCATGAGGAATTTCTTGTGTTTCGGAAATATAGGTTTTTGAACTGAAGCAATTCGGTAAGGTATG